ATCTTTTCCCACTCTGTAGGCTGCCACTTTGTCCAAATGATAGTATCCTTTGCCTTCAGAAGCTTTGCAGTTTCATGAAGTCCCATGTATTAACTGCTGATCTTAGCACCTATGCTAATAGTATTCTGTTCAGAAAGTCTTTTCCTGTACCAAGGAGTTCAAGGTTATTCCCCATTTTCTCTTCTATCAGATTCAGTGTATCTGGTTTTACGTAGAGGTCTTTAATCCATTTGGAGTTAAGTTTTGTGCAGGGTGATAGGTATGGATCCTTTTGCATTTTTCTAAATGCTGAAATCCAGTTTAACCAATACCATGTGTTGACAATGCTTTTTTTTTATTCCATTGTGTATTTCTGACTCCTTTATCAAACATCAAGTATCCAAAGATATGTGGCTTTATGTCCTAGACTTCAGTTTGATTCCGTTGACCAACACATCTGGTTTTATGCCAGTGTCATGCTGTTTTTCTTACTATAGCTCTGTAGCACAACTTGAAATCAGTGTTAGCGATACCCCACTATGGTCCTTTGTAACACTCCACAAACTGATCTCTTTGCCTGGTGGTGTGGTGGCGCACGCCTTTAATCCTACCACAGGGGAGGCAGAGGCAGGCGGATCTCTGTGAGTTCAAGGCCAGCCTGGTCTATGGAGGGAGTTCCAGGACAGCTAGAACTATACAGATACCTGTCTCAAACCCTGTCTCAAAAAAAGAAAAAAAAAAAAAAACCAAAAGAGTCTCTTGACTTCACAAGCCCCTTTCCTCTATCCTTATCTCTCCAGTACTCACACACATGGCCAAGTGGACTCTTAGTTCACCATTTGATTTATTTTTTTGACCAAGAACTTATCATATGTCATCCAGTCACTTACATTGTGAGATGCTTAAAACATTCAAGAGTCACCTAAGGCCCCACAGGGCCATAACTTAAAGTTTCCATCTTGAAACATACCCATTGTTTCCTATTTCTGAGACAAGGCTCAAGCCCATCAACCCATTTAAAAAGAATGAGTGTCTCAGTATAAATGGATCGGAATCATTTACAGAATAGAAATTTAGGCTGGGAAAATTGCTCAGTCAGAAAAGCGCTTGCAACGCAAGCCGGAAGATCTGAGTTTGATCCCCTACACAAAAGCTGGGTGCAGCAGCACCCAGCTGTAACTCCAACACCAGGAATGCAGAGGCAAGAGGATCTCCAGAGCTCAACGGTGAGCTAGTCTCACCAAATCAGAGAGCTTCAAGCTCAATGAGAAACCCTGTCTGAAAAGATTGAGGCAGAGAGTGATTGAGAAAGACAAGTACCCTTGAGCTCTGGCCTTCGCGGACGTGAATACACGTGTACCTACGCAGAGCTGCACAGGCACACAAACCTGAACATACATATACATATACATATACATATACATATACATATACATATACATATACATATACATATACATA